TATAATTTATTTATTTTAAGATATTACATTGTCAGTTCAGGTTATCAAATGCAAAAAAATTTTGCCTGAAATTTTTTTTTTAAAAACATATTTTAAAATAATGTTTAAGGTATAGGGGTGTGCGACATGACGATAAAAATGTCTCCACGATCAGCTTTTGAAGAAATATCGTAGTATCGTGCTACAGCCCACATTCAATCAGTTACAGTTCTGGCGCCTCCGTCTCAATATACTGTACAACGCCACATTCACATCAGTGTTAACTCAGCGGTAGAGTTACTCTCACGGGTCACTGCACTTATTCACAATCACAAAAGTAAATTATTTGCATCTGCTTTAAAGCCTTGCCGGTTAAACATTTCATTCACGAGCTGTTCTGACATGTGCTTTTTCTGAGCGCCTACACCCGAAGCGCGCGCACTAGAGGTCTAAAGCCCTGTTAAACAGTGCCTGATTACTGAACTAAGTTATCTTTTGGTATAAAATCAAAACACTTTGGCAGAATTGACAGACTGATGACAGAATTTATATTTTTGAGTGAACTATTCCTTTAATGTTAATAAAACAACAAAACAAAGAAAAAAAACAGTTGCTTTAATAGGAATAAATCTGTTTTATTTTTATATTTGTTCATTCAATTTTGTGAATGCTCCTGCTAAATACACCTATTGTACCTGAAAATAAAACACTGTTTGTTTTATTTGTATATTATGTGTATTTTTAATGTGTATCTTTGTTCTTATTTTTTAATAACAAAGATAAAATAATGACAGAGATTTGTATCTTCGCCCACTTTGGCCTAAATATCCGCCATTCTTTAACTAGTTTGTTACATTGAAAGGCTTTGTCTTTATAATAGGGAAATTAGTTTGGCTGTAATGCTCAGACAACTTACAAAATAGTAAAACCAACATGACAAAAAATCGTGATAAAATATTGAATCGTGATATGTCTAAAAAAAAAAATCGTGATATGATATTTTACCCATTTCGCCCACCCCTAGTTTAAGATGTGCGTTTAGTCAATTTGTTTTTTATCTAAATATTGAAACCCACATGAAATTGAATACAAAGTCTAAGGACTTGGCATAACCATTTAACCTCATTAGGTTTTTAATAGATTTCCCCTTTTCATTATTTTAGGCGTCCTTAATTTGTCATAAAACTTGTATAGAGGGTGAAGAATTGCATTTTTTTTTTTTTTTTTTTTTTTTTTTTTTTTTTTTTTTTTTACTATTGTTTAGGCACTTTTGTGTTTCATGAAAGAAGAAAGTCGTACAGGTTTGGAACAACACGAGTAAATGATGACAAAATGTAAGTTTTCATGTGAACTAACCCTTTAAAATGTGTCTATGAAGAGAAAGCAGAAATATTGACATTATTTCCTGGACAGCATCTTTTCTTTCAGTTAATCTAGAAGCTCTTCGTATCGGCTCTGTCACATTGCCATATAAAAGCCACCTCACTATAGCCTCAAGTCAACGCAGCCCTGCATCTCCGCTCTATTATGCTCTCTTTTTTTAATGAAATGTTGAATTTCCCTCATGTGTTTGTGTTGTATTTTTCACCTGAGCTCAAGCGGCATCCGTGTCAAGTAGACTAAAAGCCCGTTGATGTCAATAACTGTATTTTTTCTCTGAGGCAGCTGAGGTGAGGTCTAGATGAGATCTGTGCAAGAAGATGAGGTCTAATCGAATAGATATTAAAGTCACAATAGACTGCTCCTGCTATTACGGCCTGTCAAGCACGGCCCTTTCTCTCAAAGATTAGTTTCTCCTGCTGAATATTTATACACTTACTGTAGGCTTAACCTCCCAGTCAATGGTGTTTCATTCCTCTTCTGTTCTATTCTCTGCTCTCGTCTTTCAGTTCTGTCCTCTTCTCGCCTCTCTTCTCCACTTCTTTTCCTCTTGTTCGCTCTGCTCTACTCGCCTGTCTAATTAAAGCAGCTCGGGATGCATGATGCCATTATTTAGAGACATTATATGACTGCCAATACTCTCTCTTTGGTTCTTGCAACACCAGCTCTTTTGGTAAAGTGTAATTTTCAGTGAGACTAACGATTGGAGGGGGGAGGGGGGTGTTTGTTTTCTTGAATTTGTCACTTTAATATTCACATGGTTCCCACGGTCATGGAAACAGTTTTGGTTGTATTTTAAAATACATGTTTTTTTCAGGCATGGAAAAGACATGCACATTTTCTGTAATGCTATGGTTTTTGCTTATGCGTAGAACAAAACTTGCTCGCAAGCCTATAGTGATGACAAACGTGTGAAGGATTTGTTCTTTTGAGTCGATTCTAGGGATGTTCATTTTGGTTATTTTTCCTAACCGACAACCGGCGCTCGTTAACCGATTGTTAACCGACAAGATTATTTTAAATTAGAATTGAATTAAATTAGAAAGGATAAGTGTCTGTGACCCATTAAAAAATACTAACATTTGTTTCCCGGGGATTAATTTTACATGCGCAAAAAGCAGCAAACAACAGAACATGAGGATTCACATGGTCATCATATCACATCACGCACCTGCAGCGCTTCTGCGAGCGGAGAAAAACATAAAGCTAGGTTTTATATATATAGTATGCCTAGTATGCAGAGTTTCGGTTCATTTTTGTGCTGCGCAAAAGGAAACAGGCGGCAGAAAGCGGCATCCTATTTTTCTTTAGGCTTATTTTACAAAAGCACAAAGATTTGTTTTTATTGTGAATGTACACAAATTAAGGCAAACCTTTTACAATTCCGATTATCTTTAGGACTAAAAGGAGTAGTTTCTTCCACTGATAGAAGGAAAAACACTCAAGTGATTGCGCAGGTTAAGCATTGCTACCTTGACAATGCAGCCAGCTCATTATCATAATAAAATACAGTCAGTCAAACATATGGAAACAAACATATGGTTTACTACAAAAATGTAGTAAAATCTGTGCCGTTAAGTGTTATCACTGTACCGCCGTGATGTTATGGAAACCATTTTGTTTTACGTGGATATTGGAACGCTAGTGAAGTACATAATAAATAATAATTTGCCATTCAAATACATTGCGAATACGGAAACATTTGATTTTGTGTGGAATGAGAGACCGACCCAGCGTTGGTTTCAGTTTCGTTTTAGCCTAAATTAATTCGTTTTGGCTTGTCGTTTATATTGCTATAGCTTCTTATATTTTTAATTCTTGTTCTTTTCAAAATACTGTTAATTGAAAGGATTTGTTGTGGAGTGAGGAGAACTAAAATAGCCTAGCTATGTTTACAGTGTTTATTATAATGTTTGTAAACATTTCGCGTCGGCATTAGGCCTATTTCTAAATTAAATAATAAAATGCGACTTATACGCAACTTGTTTTTTCTAATTAATTTTTTAACTAATTTTTTTAACCATGCAGCAAACCTTTTTAAATATTTTGTTAAATTACTTTAAAAAAATTAAATAATTAAATGATTTTTAAACCGTTTAACTGTTTGTATTAATCGGTCAAAATTCTTACGGTCGGTTAAACGGTTCAAATGAACATCCCTAGTCGATTCTTTTTGGTTGAATCAGTTTGAATCAGTCGAACTGGTTCGCAAATCAGTATGAATGTTGTTGTTTTTTTTCATTCATTGTGAATCATTTGGGATGCAGTCTGAATTTGAAATGATTTTCAATGAATAAATAAATAAAATTAATAATTAAATCCTTACCCACTGCTCACTGGAAAGTTCATGGTAATGATTCATGGAAAATCAATATGCATGATTTTCTTAAAGAATGATAATCATGAATTCAGACACTTGCTAAAGTAATAGCCACAAGATTTAAGGTTTGAGTCTACATTCATGTCTTTAGCACAAACGGCGTTATTATATGTGATTATAGTGATTTCGCTTACTTAAGCAAGCAGCGCTAATGATGACCTGTCTGTGTTTCTGTCAGGTGTGGCCGGGGCTCAGCAAACACAGGGCCAGTCGAGGCGTTTCACAACCATGGATGTTGATGAGGAGGAGAACATGAGTGAGTGCTCGAGTCTGAACCCCAAACCCTCCATTCCAGCACAGAGCCCTGCACACTCCCCTTAACTAATGTGTCACTTACTGAATGGTTCATGTGCCTTCCCGTCACTCTCTATGCCCCTCACGCCGAACGATCCCACTGACACACACACAAGAGATGTGTGAGGGTCACTTCCTGTTGAGTCGAGGGTTTAAACATGGACAGAATTTTTATATTGCATCTTCAGTTCATTTAAAAAACCCTTCCATGAGTTTGTTGTCTGACAAACATTTTATATATTGGGATTTTCGACGCCTTTTTTTCTTTTGTTTTATTCTGTTAATACAATTGAAAACAATCGATACAATTAACTTTTTAATCAAGTTAATCCAAATTTAGTTGAGGGATTAAATGTCTTATTTACATAGATTCGATTTCAAATTTTTATAACGTGAATCCATTTTTTTTATGCTATGAAAGTCGACAAAAGAATCTGGCATGACAGAGTCCATTCAGGCCACAATTTAGCCTTTTTTTAGTATTTTTTTGTCTTTTGATGAAAATAACGTCTCGGTTACGTATGGTAACCCTCGTTCCCTGAAGGAGGGAACGGAGACGTCACGTCGGATGACCGACGAATTGGGGATCTCGCTTAGAGAGACCAGTCTACTTCGAGTGTAAACTAAACGAGCCAATGCACATTGGCATGCGATTATTGCATCCAGCTGCCGCTGATCACAGCGACGTGACGTCGAGAGTGACCGACTGAAAGGGAACTTTTAGTTCTGGTTTTTGTAGTGTGTTTTCATCAGACTGAAATGGCATATAATAGTCAATGAAATAAAAGCAATGGATTGTGGTTGACAATAATGTCTTAGATGAATATAAATATTTAAATATTTGTTCATTTAAACATGTATCAGACATACTGTATGCCATACAGTATCCACATACAGCACAACATGCTCCTGAAAAAAATAACATATGACCAGAAAACAAAATAATGAAAAGAATTTCAACTTGCTTTTGGTTTTTACCTTAGTTCACCCAAAAAATACAACTCTGTCATCATTTACTCACCATCATGTTGTTTTATGAGATATTTTGAAGAAACTATATTGGACCCTATTAACTTTTATCTAAATAATGAACAAATAAATAAATAAAAATGAGATGATAGTTAGTAAATGATGACACAATTTTCATTTTCATTTTTGCCTTTAAGTACTTATTTTTATGCCATTGCAAATTTAGAAAAAAAGGGTATCTAAATAATTGAAAACATATTATAGATAATAAAATTTTATTTTAATTTGTTTTAAAACACTAAAAAATTATCAGTGTTTTAAAACGAGGTTTAAAAAAAAAAAAAAACAGTGGAACCATCAAACTATGAGTATTGATGCTCAATAACCCATTAACCTAGAAATGTTGCGTTTCCTAATTCTTTGGGCTTTACTTGAATGTGATTAAAGAAGACTGATCGGATTCAAGGCTGAAGAAATACACAGCGTTCTTTTCATGTCTCGGAGTCCCGATCGTCTTCATTCAGCAGTGCTGTGAATAGAAGGTTCTGGGAAGAGTTGTTAACCCAGAGGATATCTAACCCGCTATTGTCCCATCACTCAGCCGCTTCTGTTCAGAGCCACTGACAATGAAGGGTCCCGTCATTTATTACGGATCTGTAGTGAAGCGGACGCTTTCTTATTTAGATTTTCTGCTGATAAGCATACATGATATCCAAAAGCTTTCTTCATGTGACAGTGCATATTTCTCTATCAGGTTTAGATGTTAGGTGCATGAAAGTAAAGGATTATGCACAGTGATTCATTGCTTGGCAAGAGCGACGGTTATACGCACTCATTCAGCATCAGATTTTCCACCCCGATGACTAATAAAAAAAAAGGGTTTTTTTGCCCACTTTTTTTTTTCATTGATTTTCTCCATGGGAATTTCAGAAAGCTTTGACCAAGAAGTGCATTCGACTGCATTGCCATCCACCCATTGAGAATCAACATGGTGGTCTTTTTGACTCTACTAATGCACACAAAAGTAGCTAGTGCATCTTGGTGTTACTAGACTTCTGTGTACTTGTGCTTTTAAAGTTCATGTGTCTAGGGGAAAGATCCTGTTGTGTTTGCTTTTACATGTACTGAAAAAAATTGCATTAGAAACGATTTTAGCTGAGAAATTGCTAGTAAATTTCATAAATAATTACAAAGAATCAGCAAGTAACACATTGAATTAAACATGAATATTTTGAAGTACAAAGACTAAAGTTGTATTTTCTTGTAAAACACTCTAATATTCTGTTTTATTTAGAACTTTGAAAAATCATTTTATGGCATGTAGCGACTAGCGAGGCAATGTTTTTAACTGGCAACTGTAAGAACTGTTAGTTTTATGCTTTTTCGGCATGTGCGATTGATTTTACTTTCAGCTGAAGGTGGGCAGCTCTCTAAACTACAGCTTGAACATCTCTAGTAAACAATAAAAGCTGTTTTTGTTTTTCCAGGGATGTTAAAGTTAAGTTGCATTGCATAAATCTTTTAGGGTTTCTTTGTTTTCAGTGTAACATTGGATTTATTCTGAAACCTAGTGACATGTCTTGCTGTCTGCTTCTTAATTGAAATTGAACCTCACAGATTCTAGATAGGGAGCATCATACAAGTAGCGATCCTCACACAAAGCACAGATTTGACATTAATCTTATAAACATAAAAATACATAGCAAACACAAATACTGTGTCAATTTGTAATTATATTGCATGTTTTTAACACTTTCTGTTGCAGATGAATTATTGTAGAGTATTGGATGGAGTTTGCACAATTAATGAGATTGAATATGCACACAGTACCTTTTGGGTGGCAATTGATGCTTTAAATTGCCACCTAAGTAGGCAGCTCGCTAGGTTTTGGAACAAAGCTTTTGTTTTAGCAAGAGTGCTTTCCATTATTTAGGACAGAATTGATCACATGAAGTCATTAATTACACAAGCTGAAAAGTGCGTGTGTGTGTGTGTGTGTGTGTGTGTGTGTGTGTGTGTGTGTGTGTGTGTGTGTGTGGATATGTGCATTCACACACATAAGAAGGGTTTCGATTTTTCAGATTCTGCTCCAGACTGTTTTGTATATTTCTCTCTTCTTTGCATCTATTTTTCGTTCTTTCTCCTCCACATTCTCTTTTGCTCCCCCTGTGTTTTTTCTCACACAGCTTTCTCTCTTCTCAGATCTCTTCATTATATTTCTCCTCCTGCCTTGCACCCACTTCCTTATCCACCCTGTTGTTCCTACTGTTTGCAGAGAGCTCTTACTCTGTTCCCCTACTGTTCACGGATGCTATTCTTTTTCTACCAGAGCACTGAAAGCAGTAACCTAGCGAGCTTTTGCTGAAGGATGTTATAAATGAAAATTTAGCCAAAGTTCCATCCGCTTTGTCAACAGGACATGATGATGTGTGTTTCATCTGCTTATTAATGCAAAACAATTGTGACCTGTAAATAGACACACGAGACAAGACTCATGAAAAATTGTCCAGGTTCTGTTTCACCCCAAAATCAAAATAAAATAATATTAATAAACCATACATAATTTTAAGGCCAGCTTTTTTTTTTTTTTTTTTTTTTTTTTTTTTTTTTGTTTTGTTTAATTGTTTTTACTGTCACAGTTAACATTAATAATGTTACAGCGTTCATTTAATTTGATTTCTAAAACCTTTAGAAGGAGTGAAAAACAGTTTTACATAAATATAAAATGTAGACTTGTTTGTTTTAGTTTTTTAGTATTTTATTTGTATTTTAAAATTGACTACAGTATTTATTCATTTATTTACATTTACTTATTTTTTCTTTTGATTGTTTGGGTTGAAATATGATGCTTGATTGATTGATAAAGAAATATTCACAAAACACCACACTAAAAACATTTCTAATATTTAACCTTTTTATTGTTCACCCAGTTTTATTGGTATTTTCATAACCACTTATATGAAGAGAATTTGTCATCCCTCAAAACAAGGTGCATTTAAGTCATTATTAGTCTTTTTAAAGCTTTGCTTTTGTTCTCCATTAATACATATTTTATCTCCAACGAGATGATTGATTGACTCTGCACGGGCCATTGCCTGCAAAACTGAAACTGTACTTTAAATTAAACTGATGATTATGATAATTTAGATTTTATACCTCATGGTCTTCCTTAATTATGTTAATTAATCGGGGGTTTTTTTCCCTTGAAATTTTTTTTTTTTTTCAGTGTCATCTCTCTCAATGATTTTTCACAAGATTAGTCAAAAAAATGTGTCATGCTAGAATCCCTCGGCACACACAACAAAAGGAACACACATCACTTGTTCGGTTACAAAGAAAGATAAAGGAATCTATAAATTTTACATTTACAAGATCCTGCAACGAAGGCGTTGTAAGTTACTCTTTCTGGGCACCGCAGGTTCATGCAGCACCGACGTAAAGGAAAACCGCAACCTGGACAACGTCTCTTCTAAGGAGGGAGCTGGCCTGGTGGAGCAGCTCCCCAACGGTAGTGGAGGAGGGGGTCGCAAGCGGCCCCTGGAGGAGGGCAACAATGGCCACGCGCACTCCAAATTCAGACCCAAGAAACGTAAGAAAATGCCAGGGCCGGTTCTGCCCAAGAACGCCCTGATGCAGCTGAACGAAATCAAACCGGGTCTGCAGTACAAGATGCTCTCGCAGACCGGCCCGGTCCATGCACCGGTCTTCGTCATGACTGTTGAGGTTAACGGTCAGTTGTTCGAGGGCTCGGGGCCTACGAAGAAAAAGGCCAAGTTGAACGCCGCCGAGAAGGCGCTGCGCTCCTTTGTGCAGTTCCCAAACGCGTCCGAGGCGCACCTGGCCATGGGCCGTACGCTCACCGTCAACACGGATTTCACCTCCGACCAGGCTGACTTCCCTGACATGCTCTTCAACGGGTTTGAGACGCCGGCACCGAACGAGGAAACGTTTTTTCTGGGATCCAACGGCAACGGCTCCTTAAAACCGCTGGGAGAGTATCCCGTGCCCCAGGTGCCAGGTACGAACAGCCTCATGCAGGCGCCGCTGCCGCCGCCCTCCTCCTCGACCAGCGGCAAAAACCCTGTCATGATTCTCAACGAGCTGCGGCCGGGCCTCAAATACGAGTTTGTGTCGGAGAGCGGGGAGAGCCACGCTAAGAACTTTGTGATGTCGGTGACTGTGGACTCGCAGACATTTGAGGGCTCGGGCCGAAATAAGAAACTCGCTAAAGCCCGGGCTGCCCAAGCGGCTCTGTCGGCGCTCTTCAACATGCAACATAATTCAGCAGCAAAAGTTATTCTACAAAAATCATGAGTGCACAATAGTTTTATAAAATCTATATATTTAGTGAAATAACATTATTTAGTGGGGAACAAATAAAAGTGAGTAAGTGTAGGACTAAATCTGGTAAAATACTACACATTGCTCTTTGTAAAAACAAGTAAATATATTTATATATAAATATATACTATAAAATTAAAATATATTTATTTTAAATGTATAGCACGGTAATGGAGGCAGCAACATGCGGCATGCCTCCATTACAGTGCTATACATTATATTATTAATAGCCTTTCTTGCACTGTCCTATCATAGGACAGAACAAGAAAGGCTATTATTAAACTTTCATTGTGCAAAAGTATATGAAAGTCTCCAATACAGAGCTGCACAAAGCACTTATGCTCATCCCATGTGCAGACTGTTGTGTTTGACGCAACACGGAGTCATAGCGCACAGCATTCCCTGAACGCTCCCTCTCGTCTGACCGATACCCGATACGGCAGAAAATGCCAGTATCGGAGCTGATACCGATACTGAGTATCAGATCAGTGCATCCCAGGTTTGTTCCAGCACGTGACACGCACAAGTTTCTGTTTACAAACTGGGATTTGCTCTAAGTATGGATGTTTACATGTGAACAAAAGCTTAAATTTAAGTCTGTTCATCATATAAGGCATTTGTATGTCTTCAAAAGACTTGGATTAAACCACTTGATTCATATAGATTTGTTGAATGACGCCTTTGTTAACTTTTTGGATCTTTTAAGTTTTGGTTACCTGGACTTTCAGTGGAGGTACAGAAATCTTTCATTAAAAATATCTTGATTTGTGCTTCGAAGATTAACCAAATTCTTGTGGGTTTACAACATGAGTGTGAGTAAATGATGACAGAATTGTCATTTTTAGGATGAACTATGCCTTTAAGAGTTCATTCACACGGAGCATGTTCCAAAACCACGAGATGAACTATGAAGCTAACCACTGAGACGCAATGCGACAGCTAAATAGATGTGGGCTGGAGTCTAGCATTAAAACATCTAGATGTAACACAACATAGACACATTCCCATGCATCTTAATTGGCCTTTAACCTTTTGGTTTATTCCCCAAGTTTTTGAAAGGTAATTTAATTATTAACAGCTATGCAGCAGTAAATAGTAATGGTTTATTTATACCCTAGAGATAAGCAGGCCTCAATTGGTAAAGAAATGTTGTAGAAGACTGCATTACAGTTATAGTTAAAAAGTTATAGTAAAACTTTAACGTTGAACCTCATTTAAACCTTTAAAAACTCATACTGCGGCTTCCTTTAACACACACACACCAGACTGGCTAATAAAGTCTGATTGTATCTGATCTGTAACAATCTGATGAATATAAGAAATCGGTCCTTCACATCTCATAGTGTTTAATTGAAGTTTCTGATCCGTTTAAGTTTATCAGAGATCATCATCTAAGCCTTTATAATGTGATGCGCAAAACTGGCACAAATGGCCGTCTTCATTAGGAACAAAGCCTAATGGAAATGAAGATGAGCTCTGTTAAAATATTGGGATAGATTGAGTGATATAGCTTAAAAACCTTTCTTGATATGTTTTATACCATTTGATGATATTCTTCATTTATATATTTCATTTATTAGCTGTTTTGCTTAATGGTCTTTTTGTTTTACTATTATTTTGTGTATGCATATATGTTATGTATTATATGCATTTATGCATATAAACAGTATTATTATATTGTTTATTATTATTATATTATGCAAAAATCAGAATCAGAATCAGAAAGAGCTTTATTGCCAAGTATGTTTGCACATACAAGGAATTTGTTATAGTGTCACAAGCTTCCAGTACACGGAGACAACAACAACACACAGATAATAAAATTGAGATCACTGAGGCTGCCGTCTGCGGCGCCATCGCTGTAAGAACATCCAAAAAGAGGATTTAACCTTTTCCACCAACATATCTGCACATAGTAGCTAATTTATTTACATATATTTTTACGTACATATAAAAACATAATTTTTGAGTGATTTTTGGAAATTCTAAATTGATTCACGTAATTGGCCTGAACTGATTTATTAGATGAATCAAACTTACCAACTCCTACTGACTTGAATCCTTTTTACATTTTTGTACATGCAAATGTTTAGACAAATAAGGACCTTGGAATTTGTCTTCAGGAAATGTGAATGGCCAAATAAAAATGTTAAAATCATTATGGGATTCACCATGTTTCTTAATGTCATGTCACAAGCAAAGCATTGGATATATGTCATGCATATTCAATATATTGCTCACTCCTGCCAGTGAAACAACACAGTGAGCCGAAATGACCAATTACTGGCATTTGTGTGAGAAGACGTCTATTTACACATTTCTAAAATCCTCTGTTAATCCTGCTTTTGAGATAAGGCCAGGCCTGGAAGCGACCCAATCTTAATTAACATCTTCCTCTGAACCGTGTCAAAACAAGAACATTTTGTTTCAGCCTGCCCACTACCTGTCCACTAAAGAGCAGTCCTGTCAGTGGCATGTTTTGTCTCTGATGCTGAAGGCTCTTGGGCTGTCTGTCTGCGTGACAGATACAGCGCCATGAATGCAAAACCCCATTATCCATCCCTAATCTGATAGCCACATATTTAACATGCTGTCAATACGAGACCCAAGGTGTAGAGGTGTATTTGTTTTAAGCAGATGGCGAGAGGTTAAATAGACTCTGGTCACGGGACGACTGATCGTTTCAGGCATGTTTTTCCTGCTCTTGTGTGGCGATACAGACTGACCTCACATCCACAATGAAAGGTTGAATGATATAGGAGTGACAGAGGGCAATATCTCAAATATACAATATATTGAGTATATAATGTATTGAGTACTGTAATTATATATCAGAGTAATGTTTTATGACACGGTGTTAGTTTTTGCTTTAAATTTTAATAACCTTATAGTAATGCCCATCATTTAAAACATTCTATAATATAATAAATATGTAGTTTTCCTATATATATATATATATGTACAGTATATGTATGTATGTGTGTGTGTGTGTATATATATATATATATATATAAAATAACAGTAATTAATAATTATATTTAATCATTGGATTATATAAGAAATAGACATTGGATTATGACAATGTGGTACCTATTAGGCAAACAACAAATTAGATAATAATGCAATAAAAATAATAATTGTATAATTATAAAATCATGTATAAATTTTTTGTAAATAATATTTATTTTTACTTTAATTTATTAGTGTAACATTATCTGATATTTGTAATATTTTGATATATACCTTTACTTAGAAAATTATTTGCACTGTAATTGCCACTTAAAATTATAAATTATATATGCATTTTTAATTAATAATATTAATTTTATTATATAATTATTACCATAATAAATGTGTAATGATTAGACTATATAAAATGATATACAATTACTTATACTGTTATTAACATAATGTATGTTATCTTCCTTGAAATGTTTTTTTTTTTCTTGCTGCGTTAGCCTCCTTTTTCCACTTTCTTGGTTTTCTAGGCTGCTCTCATGTGAAATCTGTCAGTGTCTAGTTGGCCAGTGAATTCCTGTCATCTGTCCCCAGGCACTAATGGGAAATGAAAGCAAATAAAGATGATGGTGCAAACTAGTGTGTTTTATCATGAGAGTAAAATGCAGCCTTCTGTTCGGTTGGAGATTTCACTGTCTCCTGATAATATATCAAGAGTACGCTCCGCCGAAAACTCCCATTAGCCGTCTCCGACCGAGTGACTCCGAAGTATTTGGGAAGTAATGTTAGACTAATGTCTCTAATTCTTGCCCATTCGGCCATTGATTTTTCCCTGGCATAATCATTTTCCAGCATATTAACAGGGAGCTTAAGGAATGTGAAGTGGAGGGCACTGTTAGCGGAAAGGAATCACAGAGGTGCCTGAAGGGTTTCGATGAAATATTGATATTATATTGCAGCAGCAGAAGGTGAATCTGAGGTCTGCGGTAAATTTTGCTTTACAGTCATCCATAGAGGAACAGGTTCTTTGAAATATTCAGTTGAGTTTCATTTGAGTTCATTCCATTAAAAATCAGTACATTGTGTTGAAACTCAGTATTAAACTTTGACTTGTAAGTTCAATTTTTCTTCGTGGAATTGCATATTCAAAAAAGAAAGAACGTAGAGCCTAGACTTGATTTTATCCATCGGTAATTGATTGGATTATGAGAAGTGGGTATTACATACTGAAGCAAGTTTGTTGAAGGGGATAGGGGATAAAAAAAAGAGGATAAAAAGTGAACATTTTATTATATTTGAATAATATGCACCCATATATGGAAGCTTGTTTCTGCCACGGGATGGAAAAAAGAAAAACTGGATTTGTGAGATTGCAAAATTTATCAACTCGCAATTCAGAGTTTGTATCTCAGTTTTTTTTTTGTTGTTACTCAGAATTGCAAGATACAAACTCAGAATTGCGAGTTGATAAATTTTGCACTCACAAATCTTGATTTTTGTTCTCACGTTTCTTCACTGAATTGCAAGTTTGTATCTTATAATTTTATGTTTTTATTCCATGGCATAAACAAAACAAAAACAGAACTGTGAGATATAAACTCTAAACTCCAAGAAAAAAGTCAGAATTCTGATTTTATAACTCATAATTTTGAATTTCAAGTTTATTTGACGCAATTTCAGGTAAATTCAGAATTATTTTTTATGAAATGCGAGACAAAGGCAGAATTGTGAGATGAAACGTCACAATTACCTCTGTAATGTTTTATCTGTGACAGAAATGGCCTTCTATACCCATGAGTCGTGTACTGTTCTGAATATGCCATGCCTGCCTATAGCAGAGTCACGAATGTACTGATGTGTGTTCATGTGTTATTGATTTTAGCATTTCAATCTGTGTGAAGTCTGACATCTGTATGCTCTTTACCAGGTCCTTGCAGATGCCGTTTCTCGTCTGGTAGTGGACAAATTCAGCGAGCTCACTGACAACTTCACGTCTCCACATGCACGACGGAAAGTTCTGGCTGGCGTCGTCATAACAACAGGTAGAGTTCTATATACGATTTGTATTCAAAACGGTTCCATTTAAACATTGAAGAATGTTAGTAATCCATTTGAATCAGCCTAATGAATCACTCACTGACTGAACTGATGTGACTCATTTATGTACTTTACATGAAGAATGCTTTTACTATTAAGTCAAGTCAAGTCAAGTCAAGTCTGCTTTATTGTCA